AGAGTAAATGCAGAATGAGGATTTGGTTCTATCCATCAGTTGTTGACTTTTTGATGTGGGTATTGCACTCAAAAATGGAGGCAGACAAACTTGAGCTTGCAGAGGCGGGGTTAAGCGGATTAAAATGATTGAAGAAGTACTGCATATGATGTTCACAATAAGATCAATAACGTGCAATGCATTTAGAAAATAGATGTGATAAAATAGGGTGACCTTTCATTTCATGCCAACTTGAACATTGAGTGAACTGCTCACCTCATTGAAGTTGTTGAATCAGCAATGATAGTTTTTTTTTACATTTTATATACAACAAACTATGTATTTAAAGTCCCCCTGTCAATAATTGTATCCCTTAAAACTCATCTTTGATCACCAAAATTACATATTAAAAGTTTTTTCTTCATGCCTTAAAATAGCTTGAATGTAACTCTACACCCTTGCCTCATTTAATATTCGCGGATCTATGAATACACAAATTAGCCCTGCCTCCTCTCACTCACAGCAGCTCAGAGATCCACTCGTTGACGATCACACGTTGATCTGATTGGTTACAAGGTAGTTTGTGACGTCAGAAACACCAGCGATTTCTAACCGTGTTTTTGAGACTGTCTTTGTATCACTGCAGTTTTAAGGAGAAAATACTCAGCAATGGTGTTGAATTGTGAATTTGCACACGGTTGGTCTTAAAGCATATTTAAAACACCACATGGACATATAAACAACATTAAAAGCTTGATTTTCACCACAGGGGGACTTCAAGTTTTTTGCAAATTATTCAAACATATACAAATATGAATATTAGCAGTCATGGGAATGGGCGGCCATTGTTACCATTATTCTCATTTATTTGTGGTAACTCTCTTATTGGTTTATATCTGTTCAGGATAATGGGTAGTGTAGTTCTTCACCAGAACTTTGCTAATTAGACACAATGATATGATATTAACAAAACAAAATGATATTGAATCACTGACTTGTGGCTTCAGAAGCATCTACGATTGCGTAACAACCGACATTTAACATTTACATTCACAGTTACAATCAGGTTTGTTTGTTTTTTGTTATTGTGGTTCTTACTGCTATTTTCTTTCTAAACTTGATAAAACTATTTTGCATCTGTTTATGGTTTTTCTTAAAATAAAACTTAAGAGGGAAATTCTTGAATTCAAATTCTTGAAAAGAATGTTCTAAGAAATATCATAAACAACTTCTTGAAGTAGGATAACCTCCAACTTGTCTTTAATTCTCAATGGTAATGTGTTAAAAATTAAACATTTATAAAAATGCAACATATATATATATACACTCACCGGCCACTTTATTAGGTACCCCATGCTAGTAACGGGTTGGACCCCCTTTTGCCTTCAGAACTGCCTCAATTCTTCGTGGCATAGATTCAACAAGGTGCTGGAAGCATTCCTCAGGGAGTTTGGTCCATATTGACATGATGGCATCACACAGTTGCCGCAGATTTGTCGGCTGCACAATCCATGATGCGAATCTCCCGTTCCACCACATCCCAAAGATGCTCTATTGGGTTGAGATCTGGTGACTGTGGAGGCCATTTTAGTACAGTGAACTCATTGTCATGTTCAAGAAACCAATTTGAAATGATTAGAGCTTTGTGACATGGTGGAAGTAGCCATCAGAGGATGGGTACATGGTGGCCATAAAGGGATGGACATGGTCAGAAACAATGCTCAGGTAGGCCGTGGCATTTAAACGATGCCCAATTGGCACTAAGGGGCCTAAAGTGTGCCAGGAAAACATCCCCCACACCATTACACCACCACCACCAGCCTGCACAGTGGTAACAAGGCATGATGGTTCCATGTTCTCATTCTGTTTACGCCAAATTCTGACTCTAACATCTGAATGTCTCAACAGAAATCGAGACTCATCAGACCAGGCAACATTTTTCCAGTCTTCAACTGTTCAATTTTGGTGAGCTCTTGCAAATTGTAGCCTCTTTTTCCTATTTGTAGTGGAGATGAGTGGTACCCGGTGGAGTCTTCTGCTGTTGTAGCCCATCCGCCTCAAGGTTGTGCGTGTTGTGGCTTCACAAATGCTTTGCTGCATACCTCGGTTGTAACGAGTGGTTATTTCAGTCACTGTTGCCCTTCTATCAGCTCGAACCAGTCTGGCCATTCTCCTCTGACCTCTGGCATCAACAAGGCATTTCCGCCCACAGAACTGCCGCTCACTGGATGTATTTTCTTTTTCGGACCATTCTCTGTAAACCCTAGAGATGGTTGTGCGTGAAAATCCCAGTAGATTAGCAGTTTCTGAAATACTCAGACCAGCCCTTCTGGCACCAACAATCATGCCACGTTCAAAGTCACTCAAATCACCTTTCTTCCCCATACTGATGCTCGGTTTGAACTGCAGGAGATTGTCTTGACCATGTCTACATGCCTAAATGCACTGAGTTGCCGCCATGTGATTGGCTGCTTAGAAATTAAAGTAACACTATGTAGTTTTTCAACCTTCATAATATATTTCCAAGACCCTTGTGATGGTACATCGACTTAAAATAAGTTAAATGACACGTCTGCCATAGCCTGACGTGGTCTGTATCGCTTTTACTGGCACTATGTAACTTCGGGTTTCGGGTAGGAACCCGTGCACAAAAAGAACTACAAAATTCGACTGCTTTACGGCATACGTCACTTCCCCCACCACTTCCTCAAATTGTCTGTGGCCATTGCAGACATCCCAAGTCTCCCGGGAGTCTCCTGCGTCTCCCTGATGCCCGCAAATTAGTTCAGATCTGCCGGAATCTAGAGCGCGCATGCGAGGCAGAACATACTGCGCGCATAACATACATAGCGCGAGCATGGCAGAGAGAGAGAGAGCGAGAGACCTTGCGAGTGTGCCTCACGAAAGCTAGTCAACCCGCCACCAGCCGCCCGCCCCCCCGTCAACAATCCAGTCACCAAGATATACCTCCCTGAAATGACTTCTTGCAGGTTGGGATGTCTGCCGTTGTTGATTCCAAAGCCGGTGCTGGATAAACAGCGAGCGTGCGCGTGCGACAGTCGGCTGCGGAAGGCTAAATTATTTACGACAGCAGTAATGGACAATTCTGCTTCCAAACTGTAGGGCGACCGCTGAGGAAAAATCACATGGTGTTGCTTTAAGTGTTAACGAGCAGTTGGACAGGTGTACCTAATAAAGTGGCCGGTGAGTGTATATATATATATACTACAATATTGTACTTATATAAACTAATCGCTGCTGAAACACCCGTGCCACTTCCTATGTGCACATCTCCTACTTTCCATCATGACATACTTTAATTATCAAGCCTCCCAAGGAGAACTCTCTTTATTGCAATAATTTCCTCAATGAGAACCTCCAGCTCTTGTCCATTGAAGTTTCTTCATTTATTTTCTTTTCCTCCATGTCATGTTAACCAAATGGATTCCAAATTCCAATGTTGTTAACCTAACACGTCTCACAGCCTTTACATTTGAACGATCCAGAGGCTTTATACTTAAAACAAGGTTAATAGACAAATTTATCATTAAGATTGATAAATTTACATTAAATTTTTTGGTAGAACTTCCTTATTTATGTATCATTCACTTCATTTTATTCTGTGAATATTCTTTTTTCTTAAGACGATTTGAATGAATCCAGCCACCGATCACTTTTTCTTTCTGCAGTAATGGCACTGTCTTTTCAGTTGAGTATCTCTCGCTGTCTGTAGAGGAAGATGCTGGCGCAGACATATAGCCATGTGTCTCCTCTTCTGCTGAACCAGCACATTTTACACACAGTCTTTTTCTTTCTAACACAGACACAGAGCCATGAAGTGAGTTTGTTATGAATGGGGTGAATTTATTTGTAAGGGTCAGATAAACATATTCTTTAACTTCAGCCCATTTTTAAAACCGCATTGCGTGAAAAGCACTCTTTGCTTTTTAAGTGTTGTGCCTCTTAGATGTGCATTGCTATGAATCATGTCTTCTTTTTTTTTTTTTTTTATACCTTTATTTAACCAGGAGGTCCCATTGAGATTCAGAATCTCTTTTACAAGAGAGACCCTGGCCAAGGTAGCAGCCAAATCACAACAAATGCATACATAACAAACACCAAATTACATTTTCATGATAAAAGTAGTACAAAAAGAACACAATGAGACTCTTAAGAAAAACAAGAACATGTCTCCATCACAACACTCTTTACAGTAGTTTTAAATTCATTAATGGACATAAGGGTTTCTAACTTTAGCTCTTTTTGTAGATTATTCCACCCCCCAAGGTGCTAAGTAAGAGATAGCAGTTCTTCCCAATTCGGTTGTAACTCGTGGCACGTTAAAAAGCAATCACTTTGAGGAGCGTAGCTGATAGGTACCAGAGCAGACAGAGAGGAGGTTACAGAGGTACAGTGGAAGTTTGCCAAGTATAGCTTTATAAATAAAGATATACCAGTGCTGTTGTCTACGAATTTTAAGTGATGTCCAACCAACTAAATCATAAAGAATGCAGTGATGGGTAAGGGACTTTGTATTTGTTATGAATCGTAGTGATGCATGGTAAACTGAATCAACATGACGCAAGATGGAGGATGCCGCATACATGTACAATATATCTCCATAATCAATTACAGACAGAAAATAGCTTCCACAAGTTTCTTCTTAGCACTAAAAGTAAAACAAGATTTGTTTCTGAAATAGAAGCCGAGCTTGACTTTAAGTTTCTTGACTAAAGCAGTAATATGTTCATTGAAGGTGAGCTTATCATCTATCCATATGCCCAAGTACTTGTATGAAGACACTCTCTCAATTGATTTCCCATCTAAGGACAAGAGGCCACAGTTGTCAAGTAGCTGTGCTCGAGCTCTTGAGAAGACCATAAACTTAGTTTCCACAGTTCTTAATCAGTGTTTTTGTCTCTTTTTTACAGGAAACATATATAAACAGTCTTGTTTATCTGATAGCAGTGGAAGTTACTGGACTTCAACTAACTTTAGTTCCTCTTTGTGTCTTTATGCAGAACTCAATGAACTTACCTCCAGACAAAGCAAGATTACTACGGCAGTACGACAATGAGAAGAAATGGGAACTCATTTGTGATCAGGTAAGACAGTACATTCTTTCTTTCTCTTACCTCCTCCATTCTCCCAGTCAATCTAATAATAGTCATTGGGGTCTAAAACAACAGACAATTTTTTCAAAATATCTTTTTTTGTACACGCATAAGGAAAAATAAACGTATATACAGATTTGGAACAACATGAGTAAATGATGACAGAATTTTTCAATTATCGGTGAACTTTAACTTGGTACCACACTCTGGTGACATTGTTTGCCATGGAAACAATTCCATGGAATTCCACGGGTCCCAGACATGTATTTTAGATTTTACCATGCATTTCAGTGAGACAAGTGTGGGCAATCTGTTCTACAGTGAGTCATTGTTTGTCCATTAGGTGACCTTGTGTCCCTGCAGACATAACATATGGTCTTTATCTTGTCCTCATGAAGACAGCACAACTTGTCTGGCTGCTGTTGTTGTTGCTTTTTTTATACTCATCGTTAATACTCATCCTGTACTGTGTCCATCCCATCCAACCAGTGATATTGACAATGATTGTGAACTCTACAGGCCATCATGTGAACCCACTGATAATCTATCAGTGGACACTGCCGTGTTGAGATCACACGAAATGTAAATGAAATGTAAACCCATTTAAAAAAAAAAAAAAAAAAAAAAAAAAAAAAAATTCTGTATGATTTTTAAGCTGTTTTCCTTGTGGGGACCAAAAATCCCCACAAGTACAATGATTTTGAATATTTCCATATTTGGGGGGACATTTTGTCCCCATAACGTAGAGTATACCTGAACCACACACACATCACAGACTGGCCACATATTAAATGTCAATGTGATATCTGTGGCTGATGTGTTGTGTGTGTGTGTGTGCAGGGGCCTTGTGTTGTTTTGAGCAGAACTAGGTCTCTTCCTCTTTCCTGTTATGCACTGCTGTTGATTGGCTTTTGCCAAGGACAACATCCAAATGATTCAAGTCAAGTCAATTCACCTTCATTTATAAAGCACTTTTAACAGTATGGATTGTTTCAAAGCAGCTTTACAGTGATAATAGAAATTACCGTAACAGATTGTTTAGGCTTTACCACAGCTCAAGGGTAAAGTTATTGTCCAGCTAAAGATAGTCTTGATTGAATTACTTCCGTTGCGAAGATCATTAGTTATTAACTTAGGGGCCGCTTACACGACACAGTTCTAACAAAAAAAAAAAATAACTTAACGCGCCCATCCGCACAAAAAAGTGCCTGGTGTCTCAAGAACGCATTCCCTGAAATAGGTTTGTAGGGGCAAACGATTATCCGTTTTCTCTGCGCAAACCTCAAAAACGCAAACCCTCAAAAACGCAGACGGCGTGCACATGCATCACGTGTTCAGTCAATAGGTATGTGCGTTTTAATTGTGCAGGCGTGTAGTCCTTATTCACAAATCAACCCTCAACAAACTACTTGTCTGGCCTTAAAAATGTATAATACATACATTTTTGTCGCGTCTGCATAGCCACGCGAACCGGAATTATCACGACAACGTTGTATCTGTACAGAGGTAAAGGGAGGGAGGCCTTCACAGGGGAGAGACTAGTTGACACTTCAGGACTGCGTTGTTGTCGTGTTCAGGCACTGGTCCTTCATCAGATCTGGATACGGCCTGGATCCGGCGGACTGTGGTAAACCTTGTGATAAACAGAGAGACTAATATTAGCGTAGACGCCATCCTTCATATGAATGAATGAATGAATGAATGAATGAGGCATTTCCAAATACATCAGGATTTATGGGAAGTGTTCCCGGTCCCGGCTGATCTAAACTATGCAGCCTAATATTGAATTATAGAAGTCTATAATGTGTTATGTGTATGCTAGGCCAAAGAGATGTGTTTTTAGTCTAGCTTTGAACTGACAGAGTGTGTCTGCTTCCCGGACAATGTTAGGTAGATTATTTCAAAATTTTGGTGCTAAATAGGAAAAGGATCTACCGCCAGCAGTCGATTTTGATATTCTAGGTATTATCAACTGGCTGGAATTTTGAGATCGCAATAGACGTGAAGGACTATAATGCATTAAGAGCTCGCTCAAGTACTGCGGAGCTAAACCATTTAGTGCTTTGTAAGTAATCAGAATTTTTTTTTAATTTATACAATGTTTAATAGGGAGCCAATACAGTGTTGACAGAACCGGGCTAATATGGTCATACTTCCTGGTTCTGGTAAGAACTCGAGCTGCAGCGTTTTGGACCAGCTGTAGTTTGTTTATTAGGCGTGCAGGGCAACCACCCATAATAGCATTACGATAATTTAGCCTTGATGTCATGAACGCATGAACTAATTGTTCTCCATTTTTCATTGAGAGCATATGACGTAATTTATATATATTTTTAAGATGAAAAAATGCGGTTTTACAGATACTAGACACGTGACTTTCAAATGAAAGATTGGTATCAAAGAGCACACCCAGGTTCCTAACCGACAAAAAGGACTTGACAGAGCAGCCATCAAGTGTTAGACAGTATTCTAGGTTATTACGTGAGGACGTTTTTTGTCCAATAATTAGAATCTCTGTTTTTTCAGAATTAAGTAGTAGGAAATTGCTAGTCATCCAGTTTTTATATATCTGCTATGCATTCTGTTAATTTTGTTAATTGGTAAGTTTCATCAGGGAGTGAAGAAATATAGAGCTGAGTATCATCAGCATAACAGTGAAAACTAATGCCATGCTTCCTAATGATATCTCCTAAGGGTAGCATGTACAGAGTGAACAGCAGCGGTCCTAGTACTGAGCCTTGTGGTACACCATACTGAACTTTTGATCGATAAGACATCTCTTCATTTACTGCTACAAACTGATAACGGTCAGATAAGTATGATTTAAACCATGCTAGTGCAATTCCACTAATGCCAACATAATTTTCGAGTCTATTTAAAAGAATTTTGTGGTCAATAGTGTCAAATGCAGCACTAAGATAGCAAACCCACACATAGCAAACCCATAATACAGCGAGGGAGAAGAACCACATGAAACTATGCAACATTGCAACTATATATTTTTTCTAACAGGGTAGTAAAAGTTTAGCTGGCTAAATATGAGCTGTTACTGTTAATTTGATCCAGTTTTCCAGTGAGTCTCATTGATTTATTCCTGTCACCTGTTCCTCAGTTAACTCGTTAGTCGTGTCAGCTGTGTTTCGTTTCCTTGACTAGTCCCTAAGCCCTGTGTTTGCTTCCGTTTGGGTTTCTGTTATTGTTGTGTTTGGATGGTTGTTCTTTTCTGTGTTCGTTTTACCCTGAGTTCATTGTTAAAGGAATAGTTCACTTCAAAATGAAAATTATGTAATCATTTACTCACCCTCAAGTTGTTTAAAACCTGTATGAACTTCTTTCTTCTGCTGATCACAAAAGAGGATATTTAGAAGAATGTCCGTAACCAAACAGTTGATGGATCCCAATGACTTCCATAGTATTTTTTTTTCCTACTATGGAAGTCAATGGGGTCCATTAACTGTTTGGTTACGGACATTCTTCTAAATATCTTTTGTGTTCAGCTGAAATTCATAAAGGTTTTAAACCACTTGAGGGTGAGAAAATGATGATAGCATTATCATTCTTAAGTGACCTATTCCTTTAATAAACCTTTTACTGCTGCACTTGGATCCTGTTCCTACTTACCCTCCAACCACCGTGTACCAGTCTGTTGGGGGAGCATCAAAATAAAGTGTTAGCAGATATTAAGCAGACAGTCTACTTATACTCTAATGACTGATAGTTGACATGCATTTGCAAAGTTACCTATAGTTAGTAGAATACCTTAAAGGGATACTCCACCAGTTTTTCTTATTAAACTATGTTATTCCCTTAACTAAGACGAGTTGATACATACCTCTCTCGTCTCAGTGCGTGCACTATATCGCTCTGTATTGCCGCAAAACTATGTTAGCACTTAGCTTAGCCCATGCATTAAATATGGGCCAAGCAGAGAAGCGACCAAACACTTCCACGTTTTCCCTATGTAAACACAGTTACTCGAGTAGTGTAACTTGACCTGGGCTGGTGACACAAAATAAACCGTTGCGCTTTTCTAAGCGTTTAAAATTGATGACTATATTGTATGGCGGAATACCATAACAAGTGCTTTTGAGCACTTCGACTTGGCACAATAATATCTTCACTCGTGAAAAGATGACCGGCTCCCGCTTCCTCTCCCCCTCCCTCCAATAGCATCCAGCTGCTGACATTTCCGTCAATTCTACCAACGTGACTTTTACTACCTGTGCTATTAGCAAACTGCAGATCATTTGCAATGGCGGACTTTGTAGATGATTATGACTTCTTTTAGAAGACCCAGAGCCATATCTGTTTGAACCCGAGTACACGGAGGAGGAATTAGCTCTTGTGGACCGTGAGAGGCAAGAAAGATATGATCCAGAACAGACCGGAGCTGGCGAAAGACCACGGGCTTTCTGTAAGTGATCTGAATATTGTTGGTGTAGCCTCATCCTTTAGGCGTGTTCCTGTGCAGGTATAGTCCTTCTTTGTGAAATGTTCGGAGCAAACACGCCACTTCTTCAGAGTCATCAATGGTGTTTTGGGATTCTTGTTCAAAGCAGCTAACCAAGCTCTCCGCTGTATGTGGTGTGTTGGAATTCGGTGAAAAATGACAGCACTATGTACATTCTCCTTATTTTCACAACCCTTTACGATGCACGCTTTAACCATTATTGTACACAAACTAGCTTCCAACAACCTGTTACTTCGTCAACTCCGCTCGAACTACTACTACCGGCGCATGTCACGTTGGTTGTATTGACGGAAATGTCAGAGGGAGGGGGAGAGGAAGCGGGAACCGGTAAGAGGACTTTTCACGAGTGAAGATATTATTGCGCCAAGTCGAAGTGCTCAAAAGCAATTGTTATGGTATTCCGCCATACAATATAGTCATCAATTTTAAACGCTTAGAAAAGCGCAATGGTTTATTTTGTGTCACCAGCCCAGGTCAAGTTACACTACTCGAGTAACTGTGTTTACATAGGGAAAACGTGGAAGTGTTTGGTCGCTTCTCTGCTTGGCCCATATTTAATGCATGGGCTAAGCTAAGTGCTAACATAGTTTTGCGGCAATACAGAGCGATATAGTGCACGCACTGAGACGAGAGAGGTATGTATCAACTCGTCTTAGTTAAGGGAATAACATAGTTTAATAAGAAAAACTGGTGGAGTATCCCTTTAAGTGGACTATTGAAATAAAGTGTTACCATGATTAATAATAATCACATTGTTATTACTTACATTCTTTAGCACTTTCTTTGTAAATATTTTAAGAAATCAAAGTGATGAAATTCATATTCATACTCGCATATATTTAAAATGTGAGAGTTGTAATGACCTGTGGAGAAAAAATGCATCAGATTATTTCATTTTGGATTTATCTTTAACTAACATTATTGACTTTCATTAAACTTATCTTGAGTTTAACACATCTGACAAAGATTATGGCCACACGGCCAGACATGGGGACTTATGTTAATGTCACACTATTGGCCAGTTGAAAGTAGTTTAGTCCGAAAGATGACTAATCTCTCTTAGGAGAATTTAGAGGAGTGTGCTTGTGGAAAAATAATGAATATGAATAATGCAAATTTAATACTTTGTTTATTGGAAAATTAGCAGTTAGATTAAACCACTCCAGTCAGATGGATACTTTTATGATGTCTTTATGAACTTTTGAAGCTTGAAAGTTTTGATGAAATGGACTTCCAACGGAGGGACAGAAATCTCTCAGGCTTCATTAAAATATCTTAACAAAAGTCTTGGGATTTTGAAAAAAAGGGGGAGTAAATTATGACCGATTTTTCATTTTTGGGAAACCGATCCCTTTAACCAATCATCAATGTTATCAACAAAAAATTGTTCAGACAACTTTGTTAAGCTAGTTGGGTCAACATTTTGGTGATGTGAAGATTGAAAGTAATTCACATTCTGTGATTAAAAAAATACCACAAATTGGATAAACCCAATCCATATTCCTCATGATACAACTACAATACTAGCACAAAACTAACATGATTTTACATGAAAATCAGTAAAACCATGAACACATCTTTTTATCTCTCTTTTCCAGGAACGATTCCAGGTGAAGAATCCTCCTCACACATACATCCACAAGTTACAGAGTTATCTTGACCCGGCCGTGACCAGAAAGGTGAGTTCTGGTCTTATTCCCTCAGTGCGGACTGGCCTGTGTGTGTGTGTGTTAAGGCTGAGATGGATGACCTCAGACACAAAATAGCTCCTGATAACTCAGTTATCTTGGCTACAGTGCTGCCCTTATAGCTACTCTACAATAGTACGGAGAGGAAAAGGAGGCATTCTACTTCCTACTGGGGTAAAACTTACTTCTTGCTCAGGCAAACTTGATTCCTGTGATAGGGATAAAATGTTACACCTTGCTTTACAGCTGATTTCTGGTGCAGGGAAAGTGTCAAGGGGTCACATCATGAGGAATCAGAATTCAAAACATCTCCAAAACAACTGTTTATTGAAAGCAAGCTGTTCTGATGTCAGACAGATTTATGAACGCATGATGGCCCAAATTGCATGTCAACCACTTGGCCCAGTGACAGTAAAGTATAAGGAGCAAAGAGGATACGCCTAAACATCAGAGCATCTAAAGATTAGAGTAAAATGTCGTAGTCCACAACCTAGACTCACATCTGACTTGCGCCTTAAAGACTGGTCAAGATTGCAGTTTATTCTGGCCAAGAACTACCCACTTAGTCAAGAAGTTCACCAACATGTACTGTAAAGTGACCAACCACAGTTTGTTGGTTTATTTGTAGACCAAATAGAACATTTTCATTTATTCAAATAATGGTTACTTCAAATAAAGATTTGAACTTGAATCTCATATTTTGGTAAATCCGGTAATTAGTTCTTCATCAGAAATGCTTATAATATAAACCTGGTTCTTTTTATGCGCAACTTTTGACTTTCCAGTGTTCAAATATACATCAGGTGGTCAGTAAATGGACTGTTGGAGGTCTGTGGCCTTGCCGTCAGATTTTGAGACCAGCCGTATCTTGTGCATTGCTCGGCTGTGTGTAGCACCTTCTGCTCTGCATATCCTTGGAGGTCAGAGTTCCAGTACACAAGAAAAAGTGAGGGTACTTTACAGATTCAAATATAGAAGTGCTGGTGCACTTCGACCACTGCTTATAATACCTTATTCTGGTCACTAAAATGCACTTCGGTACTTATCAACAAACACAAAATCAACTTGAGTTCAGCTGATGACTTAAGAGACCTGTTTTAGTCACTTTTTTGGGGGGAAATTTTTACTAAGGACTATATTGCAATGCATAACAGGGAACACATAAGCAATTAAGGGTAAATACTTAATGATGACCTTAAGTTCAAAGTCAAGTATCTAAGTCAGGGTATCCATATTCTTGTAATTTAGGCTTGGTTGCAATGATCCTAAGAGCTGGCTGCTTCATCTTTCAAAAAAAGTTTCTTTGCGAACTCTCCATTACACTTGTTTACAAAACAATCTGCAATCAAATGCTCAGAACACGCACATAGTTCTCTGTCGCGATCCGGGACGCCATTAAAAATGAAACGTCAACTTGTTCCTGATGCCGGGGTCCTACTGTCAATGTGAATTTGTATTTACTCTTCCATTTGTCCTTTTGTTAGGAGTAGCTCAAGCGCGTGGAGTGTGTCAGAAATTGAACGGCGTCTGTATACTGTATCCAGTTTAAACAGCATCAGTAATTATAATCGGATCTATTTTCGCTTTTGATGCAATGCGATGCAAAACTATATTTTCTGCAAATTTTTTTCAAGGTAAATTCAGGTGTCTTTCCAAAAAAGGATACTTGGAGACTCCAAAAGGACACCAAATAACTAAATGATAAAAGTCTATATAATTCATAAATTCACCCATAAAAAAAACATTACAGAACAAAAGTTTTCAGAATTCAGTGTACAGTATGTGTACAGTGCAACAACAAAGAGCTTGTTTAGAACTTTTAAGAGCTTGTTTAAATTTTAGACATGTCAAGTTACTGAGCAGAACCATGTGGAGATGCCAAAAAAATATAACGGACTGACGCATACTTACTGTACGACTCCTGTACGTCACTGCAATCTTCTTTACCTCGATTACAATCCGCATCCATCTAAACTTTACTAGCGAGATTTGCTTTATCCAGCCGAGAGATGTAGTTAGCGTAGCATCTGGCCAACGGTGGGATGGTTTGACCTTCCGTTCAGTCTGTATTTCACACAGTGCTCTTCAGAAACAATCACAGAATATGACAGAGCTCGTGTTTTAAAGCTAAACAGACACTGGAATGAACAATTCACTGAAAACTGGCCGTGAGTCACTATTTTCTCTGCTATCTCTGATGTAATAAGCCTGGGTTTCTTTATATTAACACTGTTTTGGACCGATTGTTTGAATGAATTTGCTTACTCTTCATTAGATGGTAAACTTAGAGGCTTAAAATGATCTGATCGCAAACATAGAAGCGAAATCGGGTTAATAGGTTAGAATAGAAATGTCCGCCTACCAGGGTCACAGGTGCTTGTGCCATTATAGATGCTCAATGTGATAAACTCCCAACTTCTATGATCATGTAACTGCGTGTCGTAAATTACGTTAATAACGTAATTTCACGTGCTTCAGTAATTTATTTGCTTTCAATTATGTTAACACATTAAGGATTTTGAATGAATCGCATGTGTTAATGGATGGACAGCCCTAGATTAAATATTAAAGGTCAGATATTATTGTTTATGTCTTTTATGTGGTTTGGACTCTGAAGGTGTTCTTGAGCTGATCTCATGGGTGTTGCACGCCGGCAGCTGACATCATGTCCCTGAGCTCAGAGAAAGTACAGAACGAGAAGAAAAATGGGATGGGGGATCATTTAAAGATGTGGTGAAAGAGGACGAAAGACTTGAGACACACATAAAAAGAAATAGACAGTGGGAAATAGAAAGTCCCAGTGAAGGTAGATGATGAATACAATGAAAGAGAAAAAGAGAAAGAGACAGAGAGAGTTATGGCTGCACGTTCTGGCCATGGCTCTTTTCTGCAGACTTGAACAATTGTTACTTTGTGTGCGCCGAGAGCTTTACATACGGTGCATTCCACACGCGGCTCTCAGCCAATCGGATCGCAGCAGGAAGAGGGTCATTCCAGAGGGTCCTGAAGAATGTCTATGCCATTGATTCCAATCCAGGATGACCTCTCTGGAGAACTGCGTTCTTTTTCCCCTTCTCTTTCCCTCTCTTTCTCTCTCGCCACAGCTGGGAATGCTTAAAGTCGAGGTGGGAGCGTGAGCTCTGCACACACACTGAAAACACACTGCACTCCACATGTGCCAAACACACCCACGCTGGGAACAACAGAGCACACACTCCCCTCTTTTTCTCTATACTCACTATGTCTGTTGTTTTTATGTGTCTGTGTCTGTCCCTTTCTCTTTGTCACTCTCTGTCCCAATTTGCATAGTATCTATCCCTAATATTATTTATGTAAGATTAGAATTAATGTGTACCAAATCATAGTAGGCCTATAGCAAAATAGTAAGCCATTTTATAATTTTTCAAGTGGATTTTTGAAGTCAAGTTTGTGGTGGTTGACACAACTTTTTAGAAATGTATTATTGTAAGTGAAATTATAATGAACTTTAAAAGTCAATGTGAAATGGCATTTGTTGCCCGTTTTATTTCTGTAATCTGACATATTCCCAATTGAAACAGGATATTTGGTTAGATACAATTTTTTAGGATTTTATCCACAAGGGATTGATTGGATGATGAAAATGCATCTCTATGACGTTTGTTGGAGAGGACAGGTTAAAAAAAAGAGAGAATATCACTGACAACATGTCATTTCAGAGGCAATGCAAGTTAGTCTTGCGTCGCTTCAAATATGTAAATATGAACTTAATATTTTCATCAAATACACCCAAAATCAATTATTTGTGCTGTGACCTCATTCATTTTATAGCTCTACATTCGTACCGATTTTCAGCAATTGCTTCATTAGCATTTCTTTTTATTTATTTTCTTTTATTTATTTTTACTTTAAAATCAGAGATAAAATTGATTCTTAAAGAAAAAATATAACTGGGTAATTGTAACAGAGATTCACCCAACTCAAATCTTTGCATCTTAAAAAATGAAAAGATTGAAAGCACAGTAAATCACAAATTAGTTTAAGGTAATGGGTTTATTTGGTTGTTTTCTCCACTTAGTCTCATAATAGGGTTGAGTCCAAACTGTGGGCCCACTTTTGTTCTCCGTAGCCATGGTTACAGTGGCTTTGTGGCCAACCCAATCACGTGTCAGGTGAAATGCATGTGAAAATGTCATCCAATGAGAGGGACACCAGCTGAACGGGATATGCTGCCAAATCTTAACTCAAAACTGATGCTGCAGTTCTGCAACACTAATTAGACGGCAGCCATGACGATGAGTGGCAGGCCAGGCATTAATAATCAATCCGATTCACTGATGTCAGACACTGAAATGATTGCATCAAAGGGTGTTAGAGAGGGAATGACATAAAAAGAGGAAGGGATTGAGACAACAACAGATAAAAGGAGAGAGACATGTAGACTAAGACACCTAATTATTATACTATGTATTGCAAGTATGTTGTTTTGATTAAGCAAAATAATATTCCAATACTTGGACCTGTTGCGTTGCCATAACACTTTGTCTTGATACCACACACCCATTTGTTGCATAGCACTGTTTACAATTTAGCATAAAGCTAAATCCATTAATTTATATTCACTTTTTAATACTGTACATGTTTCAAGTTTGTTTTTGTAATCTTAAATGAAAATGTTATAACTTGCGTCACCTTTGAAATGAAATGTTGTCACCAATTGCCAATCTCTCTTATTTCTTTTAACCTCTCCATTCCAAAAAAATGTCATAGAGACGCATTTTCACCATCCAATCATCTTGGCAGATCTGAGCACAGTTTGAGACATTCAGTACGTTTACATAGACAACAATATTACGATATTAAGGCGATTAAGACAATACTCTGATTAAGAAACTAAACAGGGATTTAACAACTGAACAATAAATATAATTTTTTTCAGTGTAGAGGAGACCTGAGCGACTTTTTCTTCTTTTGCTATTTATTTAATCCCATTGTTGTCTAGGAGAATCAAGTGCCCAGTACACATTGTACGATTTTGGGCTGTCCCAGATGAAAGATGACCAATTGTGTCGATTTCTGTGGTCATGGCTCGTAAACGGTGGTCTTATGTCTTACAGTGAGAAAGGTTCAAAAACGGCCATTGTCACTGCGACTAAAATAGCCTGTGATAATTTTCTGAAAGTGTCATAAATTTAGCATTTCATCATCTCACAGTGTGTTTGCAGCTACGACCTTCATCTACTGGCTAGCCAATAAAAATGCAACATGAAATTGTGTATTAATCACCGCAACATGGTGCTAAATCTAAAACCACTTACCTCGAGATCCATTTGCAAATTGGCATGCCAAGTTGGCGTCTTTTCCCAATCCATGACCACGTCCATATTCTCCTCTTTTGCCTCCTTTTTTTCAGCACACATACAAACCACAATTGCCAAAGTGCGATTCATCTTGCTCTATTTGTTTTCCGATAGCACATGCTAACGTTTTATTCTTCTATACTATCGTGCACCGTAGCCTACGACATACATACATGCCGTACCCAAGTTTATTAGATCCATGTCATACAGTGTGATTTGTAATGATCTTATGGGATTGCCGAAATCACAGCGGGCATAATAGATGAAGGCTGCAATAAAGACTTTTTTGTTCTGTCTTCTGCAGAAGTTCAGGAGGAGAGTGCAGGAGTCGACGCAGGTCCTGCGGGAGCTGGAAATCTCATTACGAACCAATCACATCGGGTGAGTTTATCAGTGTGCATGTGTGTTCATTAAATACTGCTCACACTCGAGCTGTGATCACTGTTCTGAGTTACACAGACACTCTCCTGAGTCCTGAAGGGAAACTGTAGCGCTACAAAAGTCATGTAACATGAATTGAAACTGAAATAATGGTCTTTTGTCTGAAGGAGTACACACACCAGCCAAATATTCCTGACTGGACTTGTCATATTTCTGCCCAGTGAGTTTCGCAAGAATGCCAGCCGATAGGTTTTGCGAGAATCTCTACACAACCTAATCAGGACTATTCTTACTTGTGATGTTCGGTTCTTGAACGAATCGGTCTTTTGAGCCGGTTGAACCCGGTTCAAAGGAAGTAACCGGTCGAGCCGGTTCATCACTAATTCTTACAAGTACTCTGAAAATGTTCATGCTTACTGAATACTACACTGCATATACACTCACTGGCCACTTTATAAAGTACACTTGTCAAACTGCTCGTTAACATAAATATCTAATCAGCCAATCACAAGGCAGCAACTCAATGTATTTAGTCATGAGGTGTGTTCGACTGACAGTGCTGTGCAGACCAGATCAGTGTATGATCCAAACTCTGTCCTGGAGGGCCACTGTCCTTTTTACTGGCCACTGTTTAACTCCAACTTGCCTTAAAGGATTAGTTCACTTCAGAATTAAAATTTCCTGATAATTTACTCACACCCACATCATCCAAGATGCTCACGTCTTTCTTTCTTCAGTTGAAAAGAAAGTAAGGTTTTTGAGGAAAACATTCTAGGATTTTTCACCATATAGTGGACTTCAATGGGGTACAACCAGGGTACAATGGGTTGAAGGTCCAAATTGCAGTTTCAAAGGGCTCTACACGATCCCAGCCGAGGAATAATACTCTTATCTAGTGAAACGATCTGTCATTTTCTAAAAAGAATAAACATGTATATACTTTTTAACCGCAAATGCACGTCTTGCACTGGGATGCGCCATGCATTACATAATCACGGTGAAAGGTCACACGTGATGTAGGTGGATGTACCGACCTAGTGATTACAAAGCGAATGTACAAAGACTAAGTCAAACGCCATTTACAAAAAAAGTAAAACAACGATGTCTGGCGATTTTGAAGTTGAAGGAGAAAAAGAGATGGAGTTTTTTGGCCTACCCTACCTTTTTTAACCTGAATACGCGGGACCTTTCAACGGTATTATGTCATGCATGGCGCATCGCAGTGCTAGTGCAAGACGTGCATTTGTGGTTAAAAAGTATATATATATATTTATTTTTTTTAATTAGAAAATGACAGATCGTTTCACCAGATAAGACCCTTATTCCTCGGCTGGGTTCGTGTAGAGCCCTTTGAAACTGCATTGAAACTGCAGTTTGTACCTTTAATCCACTGGACCCCATTGAAGTCCACTATATGGAGAAAAATCCTGGAATGTTTTCCTCAAAAACCTTAATTTCTTTTCGACTAAAGAAAGAAAGACACGAACTTCTTGGATGACATGGGGTGAGTAAATTATCAGGAATATGTTATTCTAAAGTGAAATATAGCTGCGAGCAGCGATTACGGGCCCAAGCCGGTGGCACCGCAACCCCGGTGCCTTTAGTTACCTAAAGGCACCGGGGTGGCGGTACCACCGGCTTTGGCCCTTCATCGCTGCTCGCAGCTATATTTATTTATATATATATATATATATATATATATATATATATATATAAAGCCGGTGGCACCGCCACCCTGGTGCCTTTAGGGTTATTGTGCATGACGTGCAAAAACGTAACCCTGCTTTGACTGTCGAAAAGAAGTGTGCTGTAGAGCTTGTATCAGTGTGGGCTCTGCAAAAGTGTGCATTGAGGGCACATGTCAACCACAAAGTATGCGAGAGCAACCTTCTGAAAGGACAGGTCTACATCCAGGTCTACATTTGCCGTGTGTTTACATCATAGTAGTGAAGTTTGAAGCAATCAGGTGATTTCAAAGCTTTTTGAAAGTGACAGACTTCCTGCTGCCAGTTGGTGGCGCTATAACCGGGGTGGCGGTGCCGCCGGCTTTGGCCCTTTCACGCTGCTCGCAGCTATATTTATATATATATATACACACACACACACACATATATATATATATATATATATATACACATAAATATATATATATTGTTTTTTTAAGAGACAAGACAGAATATTACTTGCCTGATCTGATTAGAAAAATAGTGTTTGTGTGTGTGTGTGTGTGTGTGTGTGTGTGGCGTAATTGAACAATGTAGACATAAAGACATACTCCGTCCTTTTGTTCATACAGGACATTATTCAAACTGCAAAGTGTTTACTTATATTTGTGTACACTCGCAATAAAACACAACATTGTGCTTTTGTCAAACTATAAACTCTTGTCAAACTGTAAACTACAACTGTCACCCAACCAAAATCTCTTACACACACACACACACACACACACACAGTTTAAAAGCAAAAAATATCAAACAATCCTATTTAAAAACAGTCTGTGGGAGCCATCTTTTGGACATTCATCATATCGCATTGGTTTTCATTTCTTGTCATCAAACAGAGCCCTAATCTGTTTATTTTTTCAGTTACACATTCTACATTGATTAAAAAAGAAAAATCAAAGGTGTTTTTATTTTATACAGAAATAAATAATCTATCATTCAGATGAGAATAAAGTTAGTGTTAGTTCAAATTTTAAGGAAAACAAATATATGATCTGAAATATAGCACATTCATGTAAAATTCATTTAGGTTCGATTACCAAACATACAATCTTAATGTAATTTAAAGCAAACAATACATTTAAAATATATGGGTTGTATGACTATTTTTTAATATAAAAAGATATATATCCAAAAAGACAAGGTCTAAAGTTTAACAAGGGTTAAACTCTTATCACTGTAACAAACACAATCACACACACAATCACACACACACACACAAGTCAAATCACTTACATTTTAGATGCAATATTGACTTTTTTTCTGTTTCAGCAGCGAAAATAGTTAAACAAAGATCACAGCAGAACCATCGCGCATATCACAGCAACGCGTTCTCATTACTGAATGATTCAGCATTTTGAACGAATCGGTTGACTCAAAGATTCAATGACCAATCAATCCATAAACATCTATCTCATAAGTGTTTACTTATATTTGTGAACAATCGCAATAAAACACAACATTGTGCTTTTGTCAAACTGTAAACTACAACTGTCACCCAACCAAAATCTCTTTTTTATTTTATACAGAAATAAATAATCTATCATTCAGATGAGAATAAAGTTAGTGTTAGGTCAAATTTTAAGGAAAACTCTGAAATATAGCACATTCATTTAAAATTCATTCAGGTTCAATTACCAAACATACAAATCTTAATGTAATTTAAAGCAAACAATACATTTAAAATATATGGGTTGTATGCCTATTTTTTTTTATATAAAAAGATATATATCCAAAAAGTAACAGACACAATCATACACACACACACACACACACACACACACACACACACACACACACACACACACACACACACACACACACACACACACACACACACACACACACACACACACACACACACACACACAGACACACACACAAGTCAAATCACTTACATTTTATATGCAATATTGACTTTTTTCTGTTTCAGCAGTGAAACTAGTTAAACAAAGATCACAGCAGAACCATCGAGCATCTCACAGCAACGTGTTTTCTCATTACTGAATGATTCAGCATTTTGAACGAATCGGTTGACTCAAAGATTCAATGACCAATCCATAATCTGTCTCATTCATGAATGACTCAGCCGTTCGAACGAATCGTTCGAACAAATGAATCAATGACTCGCTCATTAAGACGGTCGCCTGGCGACACCTAATGACGGCTTAGTGATATGTTTAAAAGTATCATTCTTTCAAACGATTGTTAATTAACTCATATTTGAAACATAAGCTATATATATATATATACACACATATATACACACAAAAATAAAATAAAAACACATTTGAAGCGTGTTTGCTTACTAAATTGTGAGCAGAACGAAAGTTGCAGCAAATATCAGCAACAGGAGTCAAATTTCATTAATCACGAGAGTGAAGAGCTGACTGAAAAGATGATGACGGAATAGGCTATTTTATGTAAAAGCGCCTATTTAAGCGAATCTATCATTGTACTCTTTTGTTGTTGTGTTTTCCGTGAAAAATAATAGACTATTTAACTCACAATTCAAGCAATTGGCCCCCGATATTGCACTAATTTTAAAGTGACACTAAAAAGTATGCGGCTGCAGTGGCATTCATTACGGTGCGCGTCCATGGCGACGAGCGAGCAAAACAGAGCGAACGTTTTTTCATTTCTACTTCCATAGAAATTCATTCGAGCGCACTGTGAGCGCCACCACTATAAATGTCCTTACTTTACTTTCACTTTTAACTTAGCGATATAAAAGCCCCCGGTGTTACACGTCAAATAACCGGTGAGAAAAAATTCTCGGAGTCACATAGCAGCTACCTATATTTAAATACAACAGGCCTACCTGATTTTGAACACAAGAGGGCAGTATAGCCCTATGTATTATTTGATATATTTATTTTTTAACTGAATAGTGCATCCTGGCTGTTTTTAAACTTGTACATTATTCTTAAATTGAAAACAAGAATAAAATGGGTTTAGTTCTGATATTTGTATAATTTTATCTAGAAATAAATGGTGTATAATTAAATTTTTAGAAGATATGAGGCTTTTAGTGTTTATTTTTTTTTACATGACTTTAATCCCTCGCCATAGCAAAACAATTAGAGATATTCAATAGATATTCACAATTATGCTTCTTTAATGTATTTTCATCATGTTGAAAAAGTTTGGTGGGAATAAAATAAACCACTTAAGAGGAGTGGGTAAAAATGTAGAGCCTGGTTTTGCAAAACATCCACATTAAGACCAAAATAGCCCACTTCCTGTTGGGCTGGCTTAAAGTTGTTTGGCCCGATG